CCGACCCCCTGCGGTACCGCGCACCGGCCGCCGGGCTGGAGAGCTCTTCCCCGGTAACTTTCGGTACCGCAGGGAAACGCCGCGTTTCCTGTGCACGGGGAGTTTGCAGAGCAGGGCTGTCTGCTGGCTGGCTTGTTTGTTTGTTTGCTTGTTGTCCTTTCTTTCCGAGGTGTGCCCGCCCGTTGCTCTGTGGTGGAGAATTTTGCTGCCAAATAAAAAGTGTAAAGAATTGCAGCCCGTGGGACGTTGTGTTGGTGCTGAAAGGGTTAAATTTTTCGTGCTAGCTTTTTCTTCCAGGACTATTAGAAATGTTCTTGTTTAACAAACCACCACGTACACCACCTGCTTTTCTATAGAAAGTGTTACAAAGTAAAGCCCCTTGAATCCAGGCTTAATGAAATAAGCAGATAATCTTTCTAGAAAGAGACTATCAAACTTCCTTAATGAGTAGTTCCACTTTATTACTGAAATGTAGGCCTGGAAGCTACCGTTTTGTGTTCAGCTAATATTCCAGATATTACTGTATGAACCTTTAAATAACTTTTTTAGTCATCTCCTCTTTCTAGTAATTCACTGTAATTTTGTGTTACGTTCTTCTGGGAGACAGGAATGAAGCCAGATTTATAACCATTTCAAAAGACCTGGAAAAAGTTGCTTCAAGTTACAACCTTAAATTGTGCATTAAAATATCGGTACTTAAATGCCGTGTATAAAATCATAAGCAGCTTTATAGCTAAAAATATACTGAATAGATTTAAATTAGAAATGTACTTTTTATTTAATAAAATAGAAGTATGAAGTTAAACGTGCAGCTTTGAAGCAGGAATCTTTAAAGTATACCAAACCTAGATATATGGTTGATCACTCTACAGCTTTGGCTGTTTGAAAGAAAGTATTACCGCACATTATTGTGCTTTTGTTTGTTTGTTTGTTTTCCCCAGACATCACATATTAACATATATACTATTTGAAAATCTTACAGAAACTTATTATAATATGCTAAGAAAGAAGCTTATAGCTATAATTGAAATATGACATATACAGAAATGTATGTTTGGAGGTAACAGAACATCAGTAATATAACCTCCAATATGGACTGTAAAAGATGTAAGAGTTGGTTTATTAGGCTGTGATTAACCACTTTTGGTGATGGGGTTACATTTAGCTGAAAATAATTATGATGCTACTAGAACTGATGTCTTCTTGTATGGAAGTGTCACTGGGGTATAATGAGATGAAGATTTTTAGTAAGCCATTACCATAAAGTGGATTAGTTTGGTTTTGTGTATGTAGTATTCTGTGTACGCAAAGTGTGAGGTAGTTTGCAGGGTCTTTTGTTTTCTGTATTCCTGGTTGTCATTTGTTTATAGAATTACTGCTTTACCGTCTCAGGAACATATTTTTTTCTTTCACACTCAGAAAGACCATTGCTTTTGCAGTGCAACTCCCTGTAAGGTCCTGTTTAAATCAGTTTGGAAAAGCGTTGAAATGTTGGTGTGTATTTGTTTGTTTTAAGCTCATTGTAATAACCAGCATATGGGAAATGCTATTCTTAGGACAATGGAGATGCATCTTAATGACTGATGACTAACGCTTTAGAGCACTAAGAAAAACAATACTCTGATTTAAGCAATGAAATTGTTAAGACTAATTTATATCTGCTTATGTGTGGAAGGTACATAATCATTTAATAATCTATTTACAAGTAAATCCATAGTTGTGGTTGCAGATTTTTTTTTTAAGATTATGAAGAAAAAAATATTAATTTGTAGAAAATTTTGTTCTTTTTATAATTTTTTTTAGACTTTGTTCTTTGGTTTTATATTCCCACTTATTATATTTAACAAAAAGTGGAAATTATTCTTTTTATTTTTTAGTAATATTGCTGGACTCTAAAGCACAACAGACAGAGTTGGAATGGATTTCCTCTCCTCCCAATGGGGTAAGTACTCCAGGCAAAAATTAAGTTCCTAAAAATGAGTAGTTATTTTACCAAAGCAATTGAAAAACTTCCTATAAACTACCCCCCCCTCATATTTCTCTTAGTAATCGTAGCAAGTGTTTATGGCTTTTTCAATTTCAGAATGGAAAGAAGCGAACCTCAGGTTACAGGGTACCAATGTGTAAGCTAATTAAAATGAAGAGCCTCTTTTGAAACTCACCTGCATTTTCTCGGTAGCTTTATGTTTTGTGGTGTAATCCTTTGTGCTGTACTGGAGAGCTCTGTGTATTTATAACATGGTATTTTAAATCCCTTTTCCCTTTAGAAACAACAGATTTACTTCTCTGTGGAAACTTTCTGAAAATATGTTTTTAATTTTCTGTATAATGAGTGATCATAAATTTGTTTACGATGTTTTCTTTGTAATTGAATAGCACAGATTGAAGTGCTCTAAAATAAAAACATTTATACTGCAGATGTGTTTGAAATGACATTCCAAACTTGAAACAGCCACAAGTCTTGAGGAGCTTGATATCTGGAACTAGGCATGAGTTATGCGGTTAAGGCCACCTCAGATTCTTACAGATTAATCTCATGGTTCTCCATTGTAAAGTACATCATTATAAAAAATGAGAAGTTTAGAAACATTGATGTTACTGTCATATTTAATATATATGTAAAGTTGAGAAATGCTGCTTTCGGTCTGAATGGAAAGTGGTATAAAACCCCTTCTTCCTCAAGCCTTGAGGAAGAACATTTTTGGAAAGATATAATGGGTATATTGTCCTTCTGCAGTTCAGTCTTGCCTTATACTCAGTCTGAGAAATCATAAATTATATGGACAGTTCTTACTCATGGAAGCAGTCTCGCTGGATCCATTGCGACTTCTTGCATGAACAAGGACTGGGGGATCAGGCCCTTAATCTTCAGCGCATTACGAAATCTGGAGCCAGAAGAGCGTGAAGTGTGAGTGGGGATATAAAAGTGTAACAAATCCTTTAAATAAGAAGAATGAAAAACTGAAAGTGTCTTTCTTTAAAAGCAAGATCGTAAAATCAATACAAGCATAAACTGGAAACGAATCTAAGGACTTCAGAAAGAATGTAATGGGAGCTCAACGCGTATGGTGGCTAATAACCTCGGCATTAGCATTTTGCACTGATTGAAGCCTTTACCAGAGGTGCTTGAAAGATTAGCTTGGTGGCAATTATGTTAGACTAACCTGTAGATAATGAAAAACATGTCAGCACATGTTACACATGTCGTCATACTTACAGATGAAAGTAGAGTCAAATTCAACAAACAGTGAAAGGCGACTTTCAAAGGTAGAAACTGATTTCAATCAGGAATTAAAAGTGAATCAAAACTAATGAGCGGATTCATGTGCATGAGAACGTTCAGAAATAGTTGCTTGTATATTAACATAGAAGTACCATTTTAATAATGTAATTGTGAAAATAAATGTTTTTCTAGTTTTAATTACTGAATTTTCTACTATGCAATAAAGACTTCAGGGGAATAAACACAGAAAAAATCTTGTTCTTGAGAGAAACTACTATATCATCACAGTATGGAATATATCAGCCAGACACTCATTAAATGCTTCATTCAACTGCAAGTGTTATATCTAACAATGATTTCAAACATTGTTAAGATAACTAAGATGCTGAAATACCGTCTATTGAAACCAATAGAACAGGCCACATTCAAGTAAAATTGCATTTGTATCACCCTATGTTGCAGCAGGACAAAGAAAAGTTGAATTTTTTTGCTGTAAAAGCTATCACAGAACTGATCACTTTAGAATGACTTTAATGAAACGTGACCTCAGATGGCACAGGTGAAAACATATCCTCAAGTGGTGATGTGGTCTTTTTTTCCCCCGCAGAGAAGCAGGTGCACCTCAAACAGACTACTTGAAATAATAGCTCTGTGATTGCAGAATTGAATCATAAGTCATATTTCCTTAATTTTTTAGGAAAATCTTATTTCAAGGCTTTGGGAAAATACAGAAAGCCAGACTTGAGCGTTTAATTCTAGGGATAACATAAAGTAGGACTTCTCATCTGAATTTAGGGTTTTGCATTGTTTTCCTTGGCTGTAGCATAGGAATCTCTCTAATACTAGCTGGTCTCATGTAGTGGGCTTTTGACTCCAAGAAGGCTCATTTATGTTGTATTCCAAAAAATGGTTTGATTTTGCTAAATGTATTTTGTTTGGTTGTTGTTTTTTTTTGTTTTGCTTTCTGTTTTTTGTTGTTATTTTTTTGTTTTGGGAGGGGGTGGGTGTGGGGATTTGTTTTGATGGAGCACTTAATATCAAAACCCGAGGAGTCAGATTCTGTTGTGTGGTGCATTAGAGTTACTTTCACTTCAAAGATGCAATACGGCATCTAACTGGAATATCTTATGGCGGAATCTGGCTCGGTGTTTTGAGAGAGGACTGCTTATACAAGATAAAAAAATAAACAAAAAACCCAAACCAGCCCAAAACAAAAAAAACCCAAAACAACCCAAACACCAAAACCCAAAACTACCTCATGTGAAATGGAGAATGTAAAAATTAGCAGAATTTTAGAGTTCATACCTTTTTTTCCTTTTTTTGACATCATTGTGGGGGTTTTTTAGGGGTTTTTCTATGTTGGGTTTTTTTTGTTGCTTGTTTTACCTTTTTTTTGGTTTTAGTTTTATTTTGTTTTTTCAGTCTGGCAGAGCCAAAAGCCTCAGTTAAGGGCACTTTTTTTTTCCTTTCCCTGTTAGTTCTAGTTCTTAGTTCTTGTAGAGGGGGAAAAAAAATCTTACTCATTCAGATCTATTAAATTTATTATAAAGATTGAATTTATTCTGTTCTGAGATTAATACAGTTCCATATACAGTCAGTTCAGTTTACTCCATGAACATTTAATAATATATTTCAATAATTTAGTACTATATACATATATAATACCGTACATAGTATGTCTATATTAACTGTAGGTCTTTGAAATGTGCTTTGATATTTACAACTTCTGTACATTTCAGCATCTGCAGCTGTGATATATTTTGTGATGATAACTTCCAGCATCAATTCAGCCACATCTGCTTTTTTCTTGGAGCAGTACACCAACATTAAAATGATCTAATTTGCTGTCAAGTAGGCTTGCAAAATCCTGTATACTGCATGGCTCCTGGTCTGGGAAAACAATGCCTTCCATGCTTGGCTACTGGTATAAGGAGTGTCAGTGGGTGCTCCATCCTGCAGAGGTGCCCAGTATGCTAGTCCCACAAAGCACTTAAGCACATGCTTACTATTAAGCTCATAAGTACTGTCATTGATCTTAAGCGTGAGCTTAAGTGCATTATTGACACAGGGCCAGAGGGCTAAGTGCCATACGGAGAAGTCATGGTTGCCTATATCATCGGGTGAGGATAGCTCAAAACCCGCCCCCTAATTTATTACAGCTGCAGTTTCTGCAGTGAATTAAATGTTGCAAGAAATGTGAAAAAGTGTTAGAGACAGATACTGTTTTGGTTACACCTGAGCAGATCCACCTGGTTGATTTCAGTGGAAGGTTTGCCATTGCTGGAGGTGCGAACTCCCACACCACCAAAGGCTGCTAAAGACCATGGGGCTGTTACAGGCTTACCAGTTTGTTATATAGTTGTTATCCTGAAGAGGGAACAACAACAAAATCCAGGCTTTGAACTAGTGAACTTTCAGTCATGTGGGTTGTTCTTAATTAAGTATGTAATCTCATGGTTTGTTTGAACTCCCAACTAAATGAAGTTGACTCCTTTTAACATGGATGCAGCCACTGAACAAAATGTGAGGTGAGGAGCTCCTGTTACCTTCTTCGGTTCGTAAGTAGAACAGAAGGTGGACTGAACAAAAAGGGAACAACCACAATGTTTTTTTGCTTTCAGATTTTAAATTCTATCTGTTTTCTCTTGCCCCCTCTGTCTATGCCACTTTCATCGTATAGGAGTGAAAATTGTACGACTCACAAGTTTCAGCACTCGGTCCCATGCTTTCTGTATAACTGAAAGTTTAACTGGAAGTTTTATGTACACAAGTTTTATGTACTGTATCACTAGGCAATTTCAGTTTCTGAGACTTCACTGATTTTAGGTTTCTCTGGAAGCGAAGCTGCCTCCCTCCTTTTGGTCTTTGCTTACCCAAAGCTGTAAAAGAGCCCACTGTGTAATCAGAACTTGGTACACTGAACAGCCTCCTCTGAAGCTTACTCTTTACACCTGTGCCCATGATATGGCAATGATTTTTAGAATTTAGTTATATGCGGGAAAGACATGAAGGGAGAAAGAGCCTGCAGCTGTATTAATATGTATTTTCTTCATTTGGGTACTTAAGAGTATTTTAACAATAACCTAGTTTTTATGAAGCTATACTGTAAAAAAGGAGGAGACTTGGGTTGTATGAAGCCTTTTAAAATACACAATAGTTACATCTGGTGGTGTACTTGTTTTGTATTGCTAACTGTTTGTTATTGTTTTAGTGGGAAGAAATTAGTGGACTGGATGAAAACTACACTCCTATACGAACATACCAGGTATGCCAGGTGATGGAATCAAACCAAAACAACTGGCTTCGGACTAACTGGATTGCAAAAAACAATGCACAAAGGATTTTTGTAGAACTGAAATTCACTCTGAGGGATTGTAACAGTCTTCCTGGAGTTCTGGGGACTTGTAAAGAAACTTTTAACTTGTATTATTATGAAACAGACTACGACACTGGCAGGAATATCCGAGAAAACCAATATGTAAAAATAGACACTATTGCAGCAGATGAAAGTTTTACCCAGGGTGATCTTGGGGAGAGAAAAATGAAACTTAACACAGAGGTGAGAGAAATTGGACCTTTGTCCAAAAAAGGATTCTATCTGGCATTTCAGGATGTAGGGGCCTGTATTGCTTTGGTCTCTGTCAAAGTCTACTACAAGAAGTGCTGGTCCATCATTGAGAACTTAGCTATTTTTCCTGACACAGTGACTGGCTCAGAGTTTTCCTCTTTAGTTGAAGTACGAGGAACTTGTGTCAGCAGTGCAGAGGAGGAGGCAGAGAACTCGCCGAAGATGCACTGCAGCGCAGAGGGAGAGTGGTTAGTGCCTATTGGAAAATGTATCTGCAAAGCGGGATACCAACAAAAAGGAGACACCTGTGAACGTAAGTAAACATTCAGCTTGTTGTAATATGTACATTATAGATCATTTTCTACCAGCTTTCCCCCTCCCACCTCCCCCCCTGCCCCGAGAAACACGTAATCAGTCTGCTTTTAAAGTTTTTGAATCCTCAGTCTGTAAACTTCACACTGGGTAATCCAAAGCAGTCACCTCTTCTGGACAGGGCGATCAGCAGTTGCATACTGCATTTTAAAATTTAAACAAGAAAATTTAAAATTACATGAAGTATAAATATAGATTCAAGATTAACATTTTAAATCGATTAAGATTATGTTCCTTGTACCTCTTGAGGAGCAAGTCATACCTATCCCAGAGCACTGTATTATGAGTAGTTAAACAATTTGTTCTTTCACATGGTCTGTGACAGAATTACAAGGAAACTAAAACTGAGGAAGAATGAGGTGTGGTTAGAAATACGGAGAATACACAAACAATAAAAACCGAGTTAGATGTTTGTATCGTAGGTGTGTACAAATTCAGACAAAATAGTATAATTTTAAATCTTTCAAATAGAATATTAAGTTTCCAGACTAAAGTATGTTTTCCTTTCTACAATACTTTTTTGCATAGAACTAACTCTAAACTTTTGGCTTCTTAGGGTATCATGGTGATTATGATTGCTATAAAATACTAGCAAATCAGAGACTACTAAGTTCTTTTTTCTAGTTCAGACTGGTTCAGTTACCCATATTCTTAGAATAATACTCGCCCTTAGCATTGCTATCACTGGGGCTACGTGTGTAAGATGCTTCTGCTTAGCATGAGAAAAGATATTTCATTGTCTTTGCTTACAGTAAAAGCAAGAGAATAGTTTTTTTAAAGACAAGTATTTTCATTTAACACAAGATTTATCAGTTTTATCATAAGATGACACAAGGACTTATATATCACCATATTTGTACCATAAGATAGGCAGACATTTGTTGGTGAGAAATGTTGTAAGTCAAAAACTGGAAAAAACCCCACAAATCTGTGAAGAGGAGAAATCTACAGAATCTGAAAAACAAAGCTGGCAGCAGACACAGAGTCTGGGATGTCTGTGTGAGGACTTCAAAATCCTCTGCAGAGGATTATGAGCACTCTAAAAGAAAAATAAATGTATCTCATTATTAATAATTTGTCCTCAGGGGAAAAAAAAAAATGATGGTGTTCTTGACGAGTTCTTACAAGGAAATTTGGTACAAGGTGAAGTGAGTGGAGTTGATCTGATGCCTTTGTAGCCTTGTACAAATCTTTCATTGTTCTGTGGGGAAGGGATGAGGGCTCATACACTGTGGAGAGTGATCTCATTAGTAGTAATTGTAACATGAAAAACCGCTCCCGCAAAACCGTTCAGCAGACTGTATTAAAGCTCTGTTAAAACTATTAAGCACTGTTTTGAGATTTTTGAATGTTGTTTTTGGAGCAACTGACTTTTTTCCTTTTCTTAGTTAACTTGCTCTTGATTACAGACCTAGTCATGGTTGATGTAATTAATATACTAATTTGATTTGACTTTCAGTAAAGGAGAGGAAGTACCCAAAAAAGAAAGCAGTGTATTTTGGGAAGTGGATGGGGGACAGAAGCTGAGTGAGCAGCGGTGAGGTGGATAGAGTATAAATTGGTGTTTAGTAACTGGAATTCAAGTAACCTGTTTATTAAACAGGCTTCTTAATTTCTAACCATGCTGATGTTGACAAAAGAATTAAATAATAACTTGTACTTGAGTATAGTAGCGCGCTCATTTGCAAGAACATTTCCCATTTTTGGCTCACTTCCAAAGCAATCACTAAGAGACTACACTACTCTGGAAATGGTCCAGAGGATCATTTATGGTATTTTTCCTCTTTTCTTTCAGTGATCCTGTTAAGAGTTTCAAAACAAACTCTGGCTCCATATTGAGGCAAGTTAGTGTATGAGAGGGAAAAGGTGGGAGGCAGGCGCTTGCCGAACGCACGCCTCGTCAGACCGATCTGGGTGACTGTGGTGCTGCACAATGGTAATTGCCATCTGCGATAGTTGTTAGCCGTGTCTGTCCTCGAGGATGTTATTAAGTATGATCAACTATGTAGTGACCGATAATACAGCTGGCACACTGATACCGCGTCTGTTTTTTGTGACAGATATTGAGAGAAACTTATCTGAACATTGACACTAATGCAACTAGCTATCTGTTACTGTCAAGCTGTGTAACAGATCAAGCAGAAGCAAGTTGGCGTGTGCTTCCTTAACCCAGAGCTTTTATAGCCCTGTCTGAGGGCTCACTTCTGCAAATACTTTGTACCTGGCATGCTGCATGACTTCTTTGGGACTGCTCGTGGCAGAAAGCATTGTGCTCTGTCAGGATGGGCAGAACTCTGTGATTCCTCTCTCACACTTGCTATAGCTCAGCTGAATTAACTTAACATAATAGGAAGGTCTTTTAAAGATACAGAATAATACCTTATCTGGCTGTGTTGTAGCAAAGGTAGGAGTAGATGGCCACATTGTAGTTCCAAATAGCTCTTCAGCCTGTTACTCAGTAGGGATTTTCATTTCTGTGATGCTGGCTTGATTGGCTGGCTGGGATTGAAGAATATGTTCCTTTTGCATACAGCTTCTCTTCTGTATATGAAATTTATTGAGTACAAATATTAAAACAATTGAATTTTGTTTTCTATATAACTTGGCACTGGATGTGTTGCCAGAAGATTTTCTTGTTGCATGAATGTAAGTAACTGTTAATGCTGGAAAGGATAAGGAAGAAAACAATCATGAGTGGTGAAACACATAACCTGGAAACTGAGCTTCCATGTGTTCCTCTTTCAGTGCTTGATCTTCCAAGCAGAATTCATCTTTTTTTCTGATATACACTGATTACTTCTCACTATAAGTGTGGCAAGGAGTCCGTGCCACCTCAGTGATCTGTCATGGTAACACACATACAAAAGAGAGACAAATACCAGAGAGTTCGTGGTTGTCAGTTAAAGCAAAATCTTAAAGCTGGGTGAAGCAAACATGAGAAAACTAGATAAGCCTTGGAACTTTTAATTGGAGGTTCTTTTGCTTACATGCAAGGACACTATCTCCTCATCGTTGATCATATGTCTGCTGGTGTGTGGCACTAGGCTTAGGTGTGGAAATTGTACGTTTTAAAGGATTATCTGGAAAGGTACCTAGCAAAGGTACCAGAAAGGTACCCGCCCAAAAAAACCCACAACAAAACCAACCAAAACCCAAAACAACAACCAAAAAACCCCACCCCAAACCAAACAAAAAACTAAACCACAACACCAAAAAACCAACCACAAAAACCCAATAAAATTCTCACTAACTGCAGTGGACTCCAAATTGGTCTAACTTCAATTTTTTATTTTTGTTTTTAACTGGAGTCCAGTCAATGTATTGTGCATGTAAGGACCACACTGTGATCAGTGATTAGTGTTTGAAGGTGAAAATAATTCTTTGAGACCTTCTAGTGTAATGTATTTTCCATCTGTTTATGTTACTTGGAGGTGGTGAGGGAGCGAATTAAATTTATTCAGTCAGAGCAGTAGAGTGATATTTCAGAAGGTAGGAAGCATCTCTTAATATGACTGAACTGAGAAATAACATAGATGATTTGTCACCGAGTCAAAAAATTCAGATTTCTAGGGAAATCCAAATGGGTGCATTTTACTGTTAAAACATTTTATAATACCATATGCATTAACAGTTGGTTTATTGGCCCCCAAATGGGGAGGGGATTATAGCTATTTCTACATTTTGTCTTGGTGAGGTAAAAAGGGAGCTACAGACTTTTCTTTCCAAACTTTGTCATGTGCTGTACACTGTGCCAGACGGCAGGCTGCATCTGTTCCTTCTTTTTCTTCCTCTTGAGAAAAACTTTTATCTCTTGACTTCATGAAAACTTACTTGATAACAGATCCAGAAGCTGAATTTGCCTTATGCTTGGCATATTTGTCATAAAGTATGTATAATCGTGATTTTTTGTTGTTGTTGTTGTTGTTTGTTTGTTTCATTTTTCTGGTTTTGTTTTTTAGTATTACTCCACTTACGAGATGATATGTCACAATTTTACTAGGAGAGGGCAATGAATTAAAGAGGAAATATGAATAAGTTGTCATTAAAAAAAATGTTACCGTGCTTCTAAAAAGCCCAAGTTGCACATAGTGTGAATTGGATGTAGAGTTTAGCCCAGGTAGTGTCCCCCAAAAGCTGTGGTTGACATGCAGCTTGAGTAACCTATGTTGACATTCCTGCATTTTCAGCTTGAAAATGTTTTGCATTGTGAAGGGGAAAAATGGTAGAAAACTTTCTCCATAGCATTTATATCATCAAGAATCTAAATGTTTCCTTTTTTGAAGAAGAGTTACCTTTCTTCCAAAATTACTCTAGGGAAGAGAATGTAATCATTCTCAGGAAATTGAACCAGACCAGAGAATGAGGATATTTCTGAATCATTTTCTCTGAAGCCCATGGAAGTTCAACAGGAGAGTGTCTACCTCCTTTCCTTTTTATCCTCTAACATATGAAATAATTTTTCTGTCCCTTTTTAAAGAAAGGTCAATCTGATCTGATATTAGATCCCAGATACATCTGCATAGGTACTGTTGGATTTAAAAAAAAAAAAAAAAAAAAAAGGTATCTTTCGAGAGGAACCTAGCAGGATTCAGAAAAATCTACCAGATACTTTTAAGGTGAAAGTAAGACCTTGTAGCTAGATGCTCCAAAATACTGAAAATGTTTCTACTATGAAATGCAGAGTTGTGATTTCTGCTTCCAGCCCCCTTTGGAGTTTCTAAAAAGTTGAAAGTCTTTGCTTTCTTTCACCTTGGAGTCTTCTGACTGCTGTTCTTGTCAGACAGATGTGGTAGAAAGATATATTTTCTTGCTGTATCTCTATTTCAGAACAGTCTAGTATTCATAAAGAGGATGATTTTTGAAAATTTGTCAGTCTCCTTGTGTCATTCAGGTTTCTTTGACCTATTTTGTTCATGTCCTTCAGCCTTTTGGATGTGTTAACACAGAGA